CCGCACCGCGCTCAACCAGTGAGCGGGAACCGGTCTCCACATGGGATCTGAACCCTCGGCGTGAGCGCCGCCGCACTCTCAAGCGGCGCACCCTCCAGTGCGCCACCGGGCCGGCCCAACTTAATCACTTCTTAAAGACCCTACCTCCAAATATAGTCACATTCTTAGGTACTGGGGATTAGGACTTCCAACATATGAACTTGCGGGGGACACAAATCAGCCCATAAAACCTGTTTTGCTGGTTCTGGCCTTAGATTGTTTGTTCTCCTCTAGAGCCTTCTCCTACCTGTGGTTTACCCTCCTCACCTTACCCCCACAAAGAAAACCCTCATGTTTTCTTCTCACAAAGAATGAAACTCTCACCTCAAGTTGTATCAATAACCTCAGTTTATCAAAATCTCAAACTCAGACATTTACTCTGGGAGGACAGGACTGCGGTGGTTGTAATTCATCACATGTCGCCTTCTCCATTCACTCCGACGCGAGTCCACCTCCCTAAGGATTCATGCCCAGTGAAACTCGGCAAAGCCACAAGATGACAACCACACCAACAAAACTCGAACATATGCAGTTCTCGTACTTTCTCATGGACCTGTAGACATTCCGCCAGGGTAGCTCATGAGCTTCTGAACAGATGCGAGGCAGGCAAGAGAGGTGGCAGGTGCCCCTGAGACATGCGCCCACAGGTACCCTGGCCTCTAATTGCTGCGCATGATTGGAGCTAGCAGGGTGGCTGCTTCTCCAGCCCTGAGCCCTGGCTCAATTTTGTCACCCGAGTTGTGATTCTGTTTAGAAATTAAATGAGGCCAAGATTCATCTAGTTTGAAAAAAGGAGTCGATTTGAGTCATAAATTTTGTTATAGCTCTACAGGTGTGGCAAGAAGAAAGTACCAGTGAGCTCATGGTTTCACAGCCTTGCCCTGTATCTTGCCTTTTACACAACAGCAGTGTTGAGTGAAATATTATTACTGGCGCAAACACTTTTTAAAGGAAAATGGCCAGTCAGATTTGTTGGCTTCTGGGGCTCATAGGTTATATTTCACAGGATATAGCAGTACTTTCTGCTTTCTGGGTGTTCCAAGTTAAAAAAAAAAATAAATAAAAAAAAATAATAAAAATAAAGATGATGATGATTCAAAAAAAAATAATAATAATAATAATAATAATAATAACTGAAAGCCGAACTGGATTGCGTGCTGTGCCATGGCCTTGGCTCTGCACAGGCGAGAGACTCCTTTGCTCAAGTAGCACTTTCAGAGACAGCTTTAATAACTGAAAGCCGAACTGGATTGCGTGCTGTGCCATGGCCTTGGCTCTGCACAGGCGAGGGACTCCTTTGCTCAAGTAGCACTTTCAGAGACAGCTTTAATAACTGAAAGCCCACTTTGAAAATGGCGACGGGTATGGAGCGCCCGCGTCAGGAAACAGCGCGACCCTGAGAGCTGGGCTGGCTATCCTCCTGTGAGCATTCTCGCTTTCCCCTCAATCAGCAGTCGTCAGGATTTGTGGTTTCCAAGGCTAAACACTGAGATTCTGTTAGTACTGAAAATGTCAAAGCCTAAATCTAGTGTTAAACTGAGAAACAAAAAATATGGAAAGAAAAGGACTGAATCGAATTATCGACAAAGACTATGAGGCAAATAATGTTGTATCTACAACAAGGGTTGGCAGACAATGGTCCGCAGGCCATATATGGCCCACTGCCTGTTTTTTAAATAAAGCTTTACTGGAACACAGCCATGCTTGTTCATTTATGTGTTGTCTATGACAGCTTTCATGCTGTAACAGCAGAATTAAGTAGTGCAACAGAGGCCGTATGTCCGGAAAACCTAACATATTTACTATCGGACCTGTTAGAGAAAGAGTTTGCTGACCCCTAAACTATAATATTAAGTAACAGATGGGTACAAATTCCTTCTTAAAACATAATTATTATGGTTTTGAGTTTCTTTGGTCTTTCTTGTTCTACCGAATCTTCTGGATTAAAAGATGTGAATCCAGTGGGATTGATGGATTTCCCATTGATTGAACCAGGGGCTTGGGCTGGATTCCCTGTTAGTGACCCTAACCCGAACCCTAGTTATGGTTGTCATCTCAGTGTCTCCATAACCTCCGATGGTAGAGTTTACATAGCCCAAGCCCCTGGATCCAAGTCACTCATGTCACTTAATTCTCCGTGGCTGCACTGCCTTGTGAGTGGGCTTTACATGTCTTTGGCTATTAAGATGTGTAGGTGTATTTTCCTTCTAACTCTAAAGACCTGGAAACTTGGCAGATCCTGTGATATCTAAGTGTGTTTTTCATGTTCTGTCATGTTTAGGACCCTGTGGCATTGAGGGAAAAATAGCAACACGAGTATTTAGTGTCACTCAAGGCTCCCCCTCAGACGAGGCTACACTTCTGACAGGGCCGAGGCCTTTTCTTTGCCTGGGTGTCTGCTGCTGCCACAACATCTTCCTTGTGTAACTCCCACTGGTGCCACCTGTGGACCCGTGGCTCTTTGTCTACTTCTGAAAACTGAAGCGGAGACCTGGGTATCTGCCAGGCACTCTAGGTTTTTAAAACTCCTGCCCCAATCTGTGAGGGTTGTCTCGGCCACATGTGATTTGCACCAGCAATTTACTTCAGTAGCTTTCTTTAGAGTTTCCAAAGTGTTCAATTTTGATTTTGAAAAAGCTGCAACACTCTCTGCACCTTCTGATTTCCTCTGTCGCTGTGATATTTAAGTTATACATAATTGCTGCAAGTTCATGCATAAGCAGGTTTGGGAAGCAGCCCAGGGTCCCGCCTGGTGGGAGAGAAGGGCACGGGGTGGTGGACAATTGCCTGCTGGCCCCGGGCATTTGGTGGGTCTGGAGAGCATCAGCTCATCAGTTGGTGAGTCCAGGTTGGTCAAGAATGTTCCTGCTGTACTTTGGCCTGGGGTTGTGGGCGAGCTCACTGTGGAAGCTGTGGGTTTGAGTGAGTCCCTGAGACGGTGGCAGGGAGAGAGGTGGGCAGAGCAGAAGGTAGGGGCCCCGTGGAAGGGCATGGGCACTGGGGAAACTTCGAGAGGAGAAAGGGAAAGTGGGTTGAGGTTAGAAAGGTAGGGCAGGGCAGGCACTGAAAGCAGCGATGGCCGCAGGAGGAGAGCAGGCAGAAGGCAGGGAGTGAGGTGGCAGCACCTGCCAATGAGCAAAATCTCATTCTGCTGCCTTGGGTGGACTGAAGGTCTGAGTGAGGACATGTGGGAGGCCTGGGGGACCATGGGCCCGCTCTGCTACGTGCTGGCTCCTTGGCCTTGACACTTTGAGGCTTCAGGTCTGCCTATGAAATGCAGAGCCAAGGGTCAGTGCTGACTTGGCTTCACCCTTTGGACTTCAGTGTCAAAGTGGCCATGGATTTGGGGGTCACTTTTTCATTGCAGACAAAATGAACTTTCTACGCTTGGCTGACCTCCTCAACATCCAGGTAGTCACCATCAACGTCAGGAGACATCCGTTGGAAGCCTGGGTGCCGCGGGTATACCAGTCACCTGCAAGCCTCTGGGTCCGGAAGATGGTTCAGCACAGGCAAGTGGGACTAGGCCAGTTTTTTCTCAAGCTCCTTTGAAAATATAGGAATCGGTGAATACCAACTGGACAAAATGTGTTTTATAATTGAAGCTATAAATCAGCCCCCTGCTCCCTGCCTTTGTTTCTCAGGGAGGCATGGAAAGGGTTCTGGACACGCTGTGCTTGACCTTAGCTAAGAGGACAGCTTCTAGATTATGCTTCCTTCTGTGAGGTTTCCTAAGATGCTTGAGGCCCACACACTAGATGTGCTCTCTGAGCCAGGGAAGCTGACCTCTGAGTTCAGGAGATCCCAGCCCCATCAGAATAAATACAAAATAGATATCAAATACGGCACTTTGATTCTGTGAATTATATGGTAAAAACTCAGGAATTAGTGTCGCTGGAAAGGTTGTTAAGGAGGCCAACTAATTCTTTTATTTTTAAGTAGATGGGCTCCAGAAAGAGCCATTTATCCCAGCCTGAGATCTTATTTTTAACACATGTGACCTGGAATCCCCCTTTCATTAGAGACTCACTCTCAGCCATGGTGGCCTCTTGCTTTCTTTGAATTAAAGGTTTCATAAAAGTGAATGATTTAGAAGTCCTTGAAAATAACTCAACCTATGATATAGGTAAGTTTCCCTGTAGCTGCTCATAGCTTCTGTTGATCAAAGCCCTTTATTAGAGGCTCTCTTCTGCTAACCCTGGTATTGAATTACTGATGTGCTTCATGTGGTGGATGTTGGTGTGTCCACGTACACCAAGTGCTCAGCCCTGGGGTCTACCACGTCACAGAGAACCCTGGGGTAGCCACTCCTCTGTCTTCCCATAGCCATGCCCAGGGTATACCCTGGATTCCATGGGGCACAGGGGATGGGCACCCGAACCCCCTGGGGAAGCCTACTCTAGAACTGAAAAGTTGAGCAGGAGCCCAGCTATCATATTTTTTTCACCCATTTTCATTCCAAACTCGGTGAGGAAGATGAACGCACTGGTCCCCTGGAAGGCCTGTCTGCCTTAGGGGTAAAGAGCTTTCAGAAGCCTTTTTAGTTAAGGATGCCAATTTTCCGGGAGCAAGTAGCAGGGGTGTGATGATCCCATGCCGAACCCTAAATTTTCTTCCTGCCCCCCGATTCTCCCTGAGCTTTCATGTGATCAAGGTGCTGTGTCCCCAAAGGGGACCCTGGGGAAACCACGGAGCTCTCCTCTCCTCACTTGGTCCTCATTTCGTCCTTGGGGACAAGGGCTGCTCCAGGGTCAGCAGGAGGATGCCTGTGTGTTGGGGGATCCTGTGCCCATCATGCTGTCAGAAACAAAGTAGCCCCGGGAGAGCCCTGATCAGGCGTGTGTTCCTTTCACTGAAATGTGGGATGACAGAATTTCTCTCTTTTTTTCTCATACCAATCCTTGGAGACAAGGGCTGCACCAGGGTCAGCAGGAGGATGCCCGTGTGTTGGGGGGTCCTGTGCCCATCATGCTGTCAGAAACAAAGTAGCCCCGGGAGAGCCCTGATCGGGCGTGTGTTCCTTTCACTGAAATGTGGGATGACAGAATTTCTCTCTTTTTTTCTCATACCAGGATTTTTGTCTGGGTGTTTGATGTCATCATTCTAATAAATGCCATATTTATTGCTCTGGATGAGAAAAACCCCTTCATTTCCTATGCAGAATGGCTTTTCCTTTCTCTTTACGTTATTGAGATTCTTCTGAAACTGTACACGTACGAGCCCAGAGCCTATTTCGGAAGGAAGCAGTTCTGGAACGGGTAAGTGTGTGCATGTCCTGCGGAGGGCCGAGGAGGCCACAGGGGATGCGCAGGAATGTGCTCTCGCAATTTGGGGAATATGCCTGCAGTTCTCCAAGCTCCATCGTGTCATTTTGAGGCATCTCATAATGAGATCTTGGGGGTGGGGGAACATCTGGTTCAGTGAAAGCTGTTAGTGGTGATGTCAGCTTGGACAGTCTCTAGCTAAAATTAGAATCACAGATCATGGCATCTTGGATTTGGAAAGAATCTTTTAAAAAAGGAAAACTTTTTCCTCTACTCTCCCGCAACACTCTGCCACCAAATGTATGTTTTTTCCCTTGCACCAACCAATTCTCCAACTCTCCAGACACCAACTGGGTGTCCTACAATTTAATTCAGTTCTGACACTATCTACCTGTAGTTAGCATTAGATTCCACGATAAGGGCTCCGTCCATAAGATTGCCCCCACCTGAGATGCCAATCCAAAGTCCAGGTTGTCACCTGTGCTTCTGACCCACAGGCTATAAATCACAGGGCAAGGTATGGGGAAGGGGCGTGGAACTTGCAGGCCCTCGCAGGTGTGCCACCTTCCCAGCACCCCCAGCTGTTCACCAACCCAGAAGCTCTCCCAACACCATCCTTTTGGATTTTTATGGAGGCTTCATTAAATATGCATGATTGTTTAAATTATCAGCCATTGATCAATTCAACCTTTTGCTCCTCTTCCTTCTCTGGAGGTCGGAGGTTGGGAGCGGAGCTGAAGGTTCCAGCCCTTTCTAATCACAGCTTGGTTCCCCTGGCAACCAGCCCCCATCCTTAGGGGCTTTGCAAAAGTTACCTTATTAACATAAACTCGGGTTGGGTTGAAGGGGCTTGTTTTGAATAACAAAAGATGCTCTCACAGTTTTAGAACATCGTACCCAGCAAGGCAATTCCTCCCATAGCTCCCTCACCCGCTCCCTGGTCTCACTGTCAGAAAGCTCGGCCTGTGTGGCTGGGCAGCGGGGACTGTGAGCCAGCTCTCTCCTGGGCTGGGATTTGTCTCCCTGCCTCCTTCTCCTCTCCAGGCTGTGTACTCCAGGTCTTCAACCCTGGTTCTAATGCTGCAAACCAGCCTGTGCATCTCAAGTGCCTCTGTGCATCAGGCCCTGCAGGACACAGGGATGCAAGATGCAGGCCTGACTTAAGTAGGGCACAGCTTGGCAGGTTGGATCTCTGTGATCCCTGCTCTAAGTGCTGGGAAACTTGCTACCAAGTGCATGTGGCCAAAGGGAAACTGGTCAGTGTTGTCCCGTGTTTTCTCCTCCTTGGGCACTATTGTCAGAGAGAAAAGTAATGGCGTGATGAATTTCTCCTTCAATTAAAAAGTGACAATGCATTTAGTAAAATTAACACTAAGATTGTACTACATATTCTGAAAATACATCAAAGTATTGTTACAAGTATAGACTTACTTTGGATGACAAAGTGACATGAATTGTCGGATTTCTACAAATTCTCTCGAATGATTCTTTGGAGGAGCCAATGGACAATCATTGGGCTGCTCAAGCATAGTGTTTCTTCTTTCCTATCTGCTGTCCTCAAAATTACAGAAGCCAGTTTTGCGTCTGGATCACTGCTTTGCGTAAGGTTCTGCATTTGAAGTTTTCTCAGAATCTGTCGTATCCTGAGCTTGACAGGCCCTTCCCTTGATTATTAACCGACTTTGCTTTTGTATCTTTAGGTTTGACATGCTGATCATCATCGCAGCCCTGGTGGCCACTGTGGCCAATGCCACCATTCAGTCAGGTCAGTGTCACCAGCTCTCAGCTGCACACCTCTCGGGGTCGTGCATTCAATCAGTAGTCTTTGTCGAATATCCACTGTGTGCTGCTGAAATATTTGGGGTGAAGATGTGGGGACACAGAGAATTACCAAAAATGTCCAGTGTTCTTCAGAGGGATGGGGGCTTGGTTTGTGTTTGGCTGTATTTTAGGGATTTCATTGGTCTGTGTCCATCCCACCAAATACTCACCTGGTCATTTCTCCAAAACTGGCCCTCAGTCCCACGACCTACCTCCACACATTTGACCTTCTGCCTACCATGGCCCCCACCCAGGTGCCAGCCCACCCCCCTCTTCTTTCTACACTCCTGTGGCCCCACGCACAATACCCCCAACCCCATGCAAACGCCTGCCTGTAGACGGCAGGTAGGATTACTTAAGATAGTGCAGCTTCCTAACTCCATGACATGAATTCTGGGGAAGGAAAGGCTCCTGGAAATGTGTTCTTCATACAGTTGGAGCCACAGTCACTTCCTGTGACGGTTCCTCAGCTCTGGGGACCAGGTGGAGGGAATGCTCGGCATCCACATTTGCCTGGCTGGGCTCCCATTTCCAGGGGTAGCTCATGATTCAGGGCAGCACTGACTTCCTCGTTGCTCAGAGCCATGGTCCTGCTCGTGAATGAGGCCGCATCATTCCCCAGGACCCATGAAACCTCAGACCTTACCCACTAAAAGGGACAAGTCAGAGGCTCTGAGAAAAATGGAATGTTAAATGATCGTGTTCCTTTTGCAGCAAGAAAATACAACAGTCAGCAGATTCTGGATATTGTCTTGATATTGAGAATACTCCGGCTCTTAAGGGTCATCATAAGCATTCAGAGGTAAGGATGAGGTGACATGAAATGGCTGCACTTGGGCGGTTCCCCCACAGGGCCTGGTGGTAAGCACTCCTGCCTCCCAACTGGAAACACGCTTGACCGTGAACCCAGAGTGTAACTTGTATAGAGGACCTGGGGTCTTTGAGGGGTGGCAGGGGAGGGGAGGGAAGCCAGTGAAGACGGGTGAAGAGCACTCAAATGGCAACTCTCTGAGGGCAGGGGTTCTGTCCTCACTCCTCCCTGTGACCTGGCCCTGAATTGTGCCTGCCTGCACGGTGACTGAATAAGAGTTCTTGTGATGGCAGCTGATATTAACTGGAGTGTGGGGTGGCAGGGGAGGGGAGGGAAGCCAGTGAAGACGGGTGAAGAGCACTCGAATGGCAACTCTCTGAGGGCAGGGGTTCTGTCCTCACTCCTCCCTGTGACCTGGCCCTGAATTTTGCCTGCCTGCACGGTGACTGAATAAGAGTTCTTGTGATGGCAGCTGATATTAACTGGAGTGTGCTAACCATTGCCTTATTAAATCCTCCCAACAGCCCTTCATGCGGGAGCTTTTATTATCCCCAGTTTACAGGTGATGACACTGACACTCAGAGAGGTTGAGTAACTCTCCCAGTGGTGCACAGCTAGAAAGAGGCAGACCAGGTGCAAGCCCAGGTGTGACCCCAAACCCCTGTATACCCCATCCTCAGTTTTTGATAGGCCAGCTTCCTTTCATGAAGGGCCGGGGAGGTGCCTCCCTGCGAGGACTAGCCTGCTCCTCCAGAAAGTGTTCAGTTGTCAACAGAAGCCTCCAGGACAGCCTTAAGGCAGGCTCGATTTTGATGGAAAAAAAGGTGGGGGTGAAAAGCAGGTGAGGCTAAGTAGCTTCCCAGTCTCAGTGCCCCTCCATGTCTTCCTAATGAAGTTCTCTGTACCCTGATTTCCTTTCTTACACTGGTCACGCCTGTCTTGCTTTGCTTCAGGGGGAGCTGCTAGTTAACTGCCCCCTCAACTTTGTGGATGGACTGATTCTGACAAAATTGTAAAGGCTAATTCCTGACATTTAAAGAACAGACTCAGGATGGAGGTGGTGTGGGGGGTACTAAACAAAACATGCTAGTTTGGTGTCAGTTTTACTTTCCATCTTCCCTTTGCCTATGTGGAAACTTTGTTTTATCCTAGATTCCGGGTTATAGTGACCACTTTAATTAACATTGGCCCCACGATGCTGATGTTTGGCGGACTCGTCCTTGTGAGTAGAAGTTCTTGTTGCTATTCTGTGCGAAGCGAGTGGTGAAATGTTCATTCTTAGAAACTCTCAGTAAGCCTTATTTTAAGAAAGAGAAAGAAAGGGAGAATAAGTAAATGAGATTCATTGGTTTCTAGCAGTCCTTCTTATAAAATATCAAGTTTCTAGAAACACTGGGCGTCCATCAATGAAGGTTCACTGGCTGCTGTGATAAATGCCCACAGTGCAGCGGGTTAACCCAGCCATAGTTTCTTCTCACCCAGGGCCCAGGTGGGCATCCCTAGCTAGCGATGGCTCTCAAGGACTTGGGTGCCTTCCAGCTTGTGACCCTGCGCTGCTTTGTCCTACTTGTAGAGAGAGCCCCTCTGCTCCTAGAGATTACTCATAGTGAGAACGAAGCCACACAAGGCAGCACAGGGACTGGGGCCACACTGTGGGTGGTTGGGGTGGATGAGGGAGCATTGGTGGACACTGCAACAGGGTACTTACTTTTCTTTTCATTGACATTGGTGAAAAATTCCATTAGCACAAAAGAATGAAAGGGCGGCTATAAGTCACCCATTCCCGTCCCCGCACGCCTCCTTCCCATCATTAAAAGCTCCCTGTTACTCTTCCTAAATATTTGTATGCATGCAAGTATACCATGCACATGCCTGTGCATATCCAGTTCATTGTTAGTCGAATGGGATAGTCCATTCAAAATATTGTTACATAACTTTATTTACTTAACGTCTTTGTCATGTGTCCTGGGAGGCACGTGCGTCCAGGTAAGCTCTGCCGTGACTAAAAGTGTCCCATGGAGGGTAGACTCCAGAACACGTCTGACCAGCCCTGCTACTGACACACTGCTGGGTGGTCTGGCCTTTTTGCCGTCCCAGATGATGTGGTGAAGACTGTTTTGGGGCATGTGCCTTGTGTGCTTATGTGACAGTATCTGTTCGGTACATTTCTAGAAGAGGAACTGCTAGGTCGAAGGTAAATGGGCTCAAAATTTGGATCAGTGGCAACTTGCCTTCCAAAAGTTGCACTCCCACATATGTTCTGAACAGTGGTGTGTGACGGCATCGGCTGCTCAAACACCCCACTTTTCCAAGCCGAGGGGTGAGGAAATAGCACTGTGGTTCTGATGGGCATTTCTTCAGGTATAGACGAGGCTGAGCACCTTTGCCCTGTTCTTTTGGCCACTGGTGCTTAGTTTTCCGTCGGCCGGTGTGTGACGGCGTCGGCTGCTCAAACACCCCACTTTTCCAAGCCGAGGGGTGAGGAAATAGCACTGTGGTTCTGATGGGCATTTCTTCAGGTCTAGACGAGGCTGAGCACCTTTGCCCTGTTCTTTTGGCCACTGGTGCTTAGTTTTCCGTCGGCAGCCCATTCACATTCTTTTATTAGTTTTATCTCTGATATAGTTTGTAGGAGTCTTTGGCCTATTATGAAATAGGCCCCTAGTAAGCTATAGACAGAGCAATTATCTTTCCTTGTCCGTCACTTTCTTTTTTTTTTTGACATGCAGGCTTTTTGTTTTATTTTGTTCTTTGGCTGTATAAAAGTTTAAGTATGTTATATAGTTATACTCATCAATCTTTTACTTTATAGTTTCTAGATTTTACATCATGCTTAGTAAGGCCTTTTTCTACTTAATTTTTTTCTTCTACTACCTTTATGATTCTATTTTTTACGTTTAACCTTTTGAAATTTATTTTGGTATAAAGAACAAGGTAAAGATCCAACTTTAATACTTTTTTCTCTAGAGAACTATTATTTATTGAGTACTAAACCCACTAACTTGCTAGCAGCTTTGTTTTCGACTTCGTAAATGAAGCCCAACAGGAGGCCAAGGTGTGGTCCAGCTGGCTGTGTCCTCTGTCCCTCCACGGATAGCTCAGGCTTCTTTAGCAGACTGGCCGTTCCCTTCCTGAAGCCGCTTGGAACTCCTGGCTGGGGAGGGCGACCGTCCCAGGGAGTACGAGTAGCGGCCCTTTCTGCGGGACCCTGGGAATGTGGCAGGCCAGCGTCTTGCTATTCTTCCCGGTTCTGTAGCTTAGGGCACCCGCAGGTGACCAGGTGCCTTCCATCCTAGGTGGTCTACTACGCATTTGCTATCATTGGAATGGAAGTGTTCCAAGGCAAAGTCCGGTTCTTTGAGCCTAATTCCACTGCCCCTGATTCCCTGGTGTGCGGGAACCCAGCCTTAAAGGGCTCCACGTTTGCGCGAGACAGGTACTGCAAGAACAACTTCAATGACCTCGCCTCTTCCTTCATTGTGCTGATGGAGCTCACCGTGGTCAACCAGTGGCACAATATCCTTTCTCAGAAGGTGGGGTGGTCCCCGGGGGGTGATCTGCTCCTTGGGTTGGGGCAGGGGTGCTGGAAGTTACTTTCAGGAGGAGGATCATTTCTTGGCATCTGTCAGCTCAGGGGCCCACTGAGTTTCTGGAAGGTCTGGTTCCTTAGCTTCCTACTCCTTGCAGGTGGCTTTGCCCTCGTGACTCACCAGGCGGCGAAGCTGTACTTCATCTTGTTCCACATTGTGGTCGTCATCCTCATTGTTAAGTGAGTTTCTTTTACCACGTTGGAGATGTCGGGTCTCCTTCTCCGGAATGTCTAACTGCTGCACCTCCCCTCTCCTTGTTCCACCCTAGTGCAGGTTGTGGGTCTCATCTCTCCCACTGGATGCTAAGCCACTGAAGGAGGGTCTTCTATTCACGTTTGTGCTCCTCAGTGTCTGCCAGTGCCTCGCACATCAGTATATAATAAACAGCTCAGAGCTTCACAGGTTGCTTGGGCCAGAAGGAACCTCAGGTCCTGGCTGGTCCACTGGGATGGAATCAGCTCTGAAACATCCCTGCAGAATTGCTGTCCAGCCTCTGCTTAAATTAGTCCAACTGCTGGGACTCCTTAGAACAAGAGAATCACTTTTCTTGTCCAGCTTGGTTCTTAGCATTTCAAAGGCAGAATGAGAATGCAGCCCCTGGTAAGTTCTAGTAGGAAGGGAAGGTGCCTCCTGGTAAATTCTAGTAGGAGGGGAAGGCGGCCCCTGGCGAAGCCTAGTAGGACGGGGAAGGCGGCCCCTGGCAAAGCCTAGTAGGACGGGGAAGGTGGCCCCTGGCGAAGCCTAGCAGGAGGGGAAGGTGGCCCCTGGTAAATTCTCTTCATTGGTTCTAATTCTCTCCTGATCCCTTTTCCATGGAAAAGCTCAGTAAATATTTGAAAGCTGCGATGACATCTTGACCCTCACAATGGCTCTCCCTCCACCTGGAACTCCAGTCTAGCTCATCGGCTCCCTGTAGGACATGCAGTTGCCTCCCTGCGATCAGGGCAGTTCTCACCTGTGGTGTTTTCTGGCTGTCAGTGCCCAGGTGCCTTCCTGGGCAGATCAGGGCTGTTTTGCCACCCCACCACCCTGCTGACTTTGGTCAAGAATGCCTTACGGGATATCCTAGCAGAGGGTGGGAGAGGAGGATGCTCTGGTCAGGCCTGGTTGTCCCACACATCCAGAATGGAATAGATTGGGAAGAAGGGGGCAGTGCCCCCCTGAGTGGCTCATAAGGAGTCTCCCAGAGCGATGGCATAGGCCACAGCAACAATGGACACAGGCTGTAGGGATTTTTCTACTCCTCTCCTCACAAAAGCCTGCAAGCTGACAGCCCTGGGCTTCCTCATCATGACCGTCAAGTCTGAAACGGTGAAGGGTCTGAGCATTTAGGGTGCGCTCGCAGGCTCACAGGCTATCTGCTGCGTGTACATACTGACAGAAGACACGAGACCTTGGGTCAGAGACAAAGCCAGTTTGTTATTCATGGCAAGAGCAGCAGCCAGAGCACCCCTCTGTGTCAGCTCCCTGAACCCTCACCCCACAGGCAGTGCGGCGAGCTCTGGGTGGGGTGGGTGCAGTGCTGGCGAGGAGGGCGAGACCCTCACCTTGCAGCCCTGGACTGTGGGCAGGGAGGGAGGCCTCGCTGAGCTTCACTGTCCTGGGATGCCTCCTTAGACAAATGTCCCTAAATTGGCTCTCGGTGCCTTTGCTCAGAGCACCCAGACTGCAGAGACGCATGAGATAGTCATGGAAAATTACCTCCCAAAGATTATATGTCCTAAGCTTCCTTTTAAAATATAGTGTATTTTCTTCTTAATATTCACTGTTTAAGTAGGGTGTGGAGGAGGGGTGGTTTTCCAAATGAATGAAAGTTGTGTCCAGTCATTGAAATCCGTTTTGCTGTCAGTCATTTCTCCCTCCCATGTTGTGTTTTCTGGTCACATAAGCTGCCCTTTTACTTGGCCTGGAATGCTCTTTGGAGCAAGGATTCCTGTCACCTAGACCATGGCTGACTCAGCCTGACGCCCTCTGCTTCTTCCTCTTCCACAGTATTTTCATCGCATTCATCTTGGAAGCATTCTTTGTGGCAAGGATTCCTGTCACCTAGACCATGGCTGACTCAGCCTGACGCTCTCTGCTTCTTCCTCTTCCACAGTATTTTCATCGCATTCATCTTGGAAGCATTCTTTGTGGCCTATTCACTGGAAAAAAGCGAAGTAGAAACTGCTATTGAGAAGAAGATTCAAGAGCTCGGAGTGGGAATCCAAGAGTGAGTATCATGTCTCCCTTGACGCCACTCAGACTTCAGACAGGATGTACATGAAAGCTCCTGACCCTGTTTGATCTGTCAATGCCCCGTGGCCCCAGCCTGGTCCTGCATGCCTGTTGTCAGGGCCTCGCTCTAGATTAAGTCCCCTGCATGTGGCTGGACAGTAATCACTGGACCATGCCTGGGAGGCCACGCAAGAGACCTGACCACGTTTATGTTGTCTTTTCCTCTTTGAAGGGAAGACATGCAAGATGGGAAGCTCACTGATAACATAGATGCCAAGGACAGTGGCTTTATGGGGGACAATGGAGACAACAAAAGGAAGGCCTCGAAAGGACTGTACTTCAGAATTGCATCAAAAAGTAGGTTTCAACCCAATGTAAAACTAGCGCTGATCTTCTTCCAATCCATCCTCCTCCCAGCAGCTGGTGGGATGTGTCCAGCAAGCAGATCTGACCTTCGGTGGCTTCTTGTCACTCCAGGATAAAGATGAGGCCCCCTGCCCTTTGCTGCCCACACACCTGGTTTCTCTCAGTACCGCAGTCTCTCTTCCTTCCCACTAGGCCTGCTCTGCCTGGCACTCTTCGGCCCTTCTGGCCTTTCAGCCCCTCAGTTCTGCCCCGTCCTGCCACGGGGCCTTTGCAGAGGCCTTTTACTCCCCATGGCTCACTCTCACCTCCCCAGTTTGAGTAGTTAAGGCTCCTCATCCCTTAGGTTCCTGCTCAGGCAGCCCCGAGAAGGGCAGGTGCCCATGTGGCCCCCAGACCTCCTCCCCTCCTCTCAGCACGTCAGCTGCACGTTCATCTCTGAGTGACTATTTCAGTCACCATCTGTCTTCCTTGCACACTCAAAGCTTCATGTGTGTGGGGCCATGTCCCTTTTATTCTCCATGGTATCTCCAGGGCCTAATCATGTGCCTGGGACATAGGAGCCTTTAACAACTATTTATTTAATTACTTCATTAATTCCCAATGAATGAATGGGAATAATGTAAACCTAAACCAGTCTGAATTAGTTTGGGCTCTGGCTGAGGCGCCCTACAAGAAACTCATTCTGAGGAATGCAGCACAGCTTGCAGGAGGAGTGGCATGAGCATGTCCCCCATCCTTCGAGGAGGACCTTCTCCTTGGGCTTCATGCCCTCAGTTGCTGGGGAGCTCCGTGGGCAGCAGGGTGGACGAGCGATCCTTTCCAACCCTTTGCATCCTTCCTTTCAAGGGGTGTTTGGCTACCGTGCCCAGAGCCTTGTGTTCCACTTGGGGGCCATCCTTCAGGACAGCCTTGGTGTGCTCAGGCTCAGTGCTCCCCTGAATCTCAAAATGTACCTCTTTCTCCCTCCTAGAGTACAGGACTGTGGACGCCTTGCTGCAGCGGATGTTTGAGTGTGAAATTGCTCCAGAGGATGAAGGCCCTTCCTTAGATGAGATTCTGAACTTCTCACCCCGTGACATATATCTCAAGAATCCCAATTTTGAAAACATTGCATGATCCTGGACTTGCAAGGCTCCACAACTGGAAGCCAAGATAAGCTGTCATCAGTTTTTGCATATGCTATCAGAAAGGATTTTTCCTGTGTTGTGATAAGGCTGTGAGTGGCCCTCGCTTGTCCTGAGAGGTCAGCTGAACGGTGTGGCAAGGCTTCCTCACTGCATCCCAGCTGGGGTCCGTCTTAGGTCTGATCATGGAACCAAGGAGAGGAAAATTGATGAAGAGACTAAGAGGCACATTTGTCATACACGTGTGTGTACATGGGTAAAGTCTTCTGTGGGTATGTAAAAGCTTTTCATTTATTTTTAGATGGTGTTTTGCTATTCTGTTAAACTAATACTGCTGCAATGTTACATGAATTTAAATGTGGTAAAGGAATGTTCTAGTACCATAGCTTTTAAATGCAGTGCTTATTCAAAATGGAGAAAAGTGTGGCTGCAGTAATATAATTGTTGCACTTGCTTTTTTATTTTTCCAGGGGCAGGAGCGTGCTCTTAAAGCTTCTTTAGTTGAATTACAATTATAGCACGATTTTGAGAAAGTTGCTCGCTGAGGTCACTTTCCCCAACTGGAAATCTCCCAGTGCAGTGACATGCTTCTTCTGGGAACTTAGAAGGGATTTATTTTATTTTATTTTTATAATTTTTAAATTTGGTAAAATACATGTAATATAAAATTTACCGTTTTAACCATTTCTAAGTATAGACTGCAGTAGCATTAAGCACACTGTCACCAACATCCAGCCCCAGAACTCTTTCCGTCTTGCAAAAGGAACACTGTACCGTAGAACAATAATCCCCATTTCCCCTCCCCCAGACCCTGGCACGCACCACTCTACTTTCTGTCCCCATGGATTTCATGACTCTAGACTGCATTTGCACTTTGAGCAAGTATGGTCCTTTCCACTCTTCTGTGTCTTGTCATGGGCTCACCCTAAGGCAGGGGAATTGGTGGGAGCACATCCCCATGACCTGAGGTCTCTGGGTACAGTGAGGCCTGAGCTGTGTGTCATGTCATGTGTCATATGTTGGGGTGGCAACTGAAGTCAGCTTGGAAAGGGCTGCTTTTCCTCGGTTCTGAGGGTGACCTCTGGGCCACATGGTGCAGGAGCAAAGCCAAGGGCTTTGGGCACAGGCTCTGGGGCTCCCCTCCAACCATGTCACTGAACCTCTGTGGACCATTTCCTCATCTGCCAACTCAGGACAAGTGACACCTCCTTCCAAAGACTGTGGGGAGCCCAGGAGGAAGAGGACGGTATCATGCTGACTCAATGCTGTAGCAGTCTGCTGTGACATGAGTCACTCTTCCTGGCTGACAGCCATACCTGGCGTTTGGCACTGGTGCTCTAGTGTCCCACTACCACAAGGGTTCCCAGGAGTTGGGGCCTTGCTAGCCCCTCTGATGTGGCTTGTGGAGTCCTGCCATCCTTCCAGATCTCTCTCATTTCTTTGTATTTCTAATATCTGTTATTATGTAAAGTATCATAATAAATGTACTGAGTTGCAACTTCATTTTTTAAATTATATATAGGGTGTTTTTTTCTTAATTAGTAATACACAGTCATTTAAAGAATTCAAGCCAGAAATATAGTAAAAAGTCAAAAGCTGTCCGTTATCTTTACTCTTCCTTCTCCTCACCCCTCTGCCTTTCATTTCCCCACTCACCCCTTTTCCGATGGTAACTGCAGAGTTCATTGTTTATCCTTCTGGAGCTAAATCTATCCATTTACAGTTATGTATATGCTGTATATTAACATATAATTGCATTTTTTTAATCCTAAGTGGGATATCATGACATATTTCATATAGATTGTTCAACAAGCTGTTTTTTTTTTAACTTACCAGTAATTGTTTCATGTTGGTACACACATGCACACGGTGCTGAGTATTCCACCCATCAGTGCTTCATGATTTAAGAATTCACCTATTCATGGACCTGTACGTTGTCACACCTATTCAACATTAAACAATAACGGAGTAAACCTTACAATGTCAATTCTCTTTTGTGTGTGAGCCCTTCAGTAGAAGTCAGACTTACTGGATCCTATTCTACGGACACTAACGTTCTCCGACCAGCAGTGGCTTCTGTGGCCACCAGCGGCCCCACCGCCCAGCCATTATGCACAGCCTCGGAGGGAGGGGCCCGGGGTCGAGCTGTGGCAGAGTTCACCACCTTTCTCCAGGTTTTTCTCCTGCCCCTCAGTGAACCAGTCGCCCCACATTTTGGAACATGGGTTTTTAGCTGTGCCCTTCATTCCCCAGTGTCCCTGGCAGGGACTGGGGCAACAACTGGCTCTGGTCCAGGGGCTGTGAGCCCAGCAGGGTCTACAGCTTGCAGATCTTGACCCTCTGCCTCACTTCCCTTATCTTCTTCAGTCTTGCTTTCTTCTGAAAACAGCCATTTTCAAAAGGGGGAAAAAATTCCATAAATCTGGCTTTATCAGTGCTTGGTTGTTTAGACACTATAAGAGTAAATTTCATGTTGGTTCGCTGATGAGGTCTGACCCTGGGTCATTTTCAACTTCCAAGTTAGTATGTGTTCAATTGATCATATAGGTTATTCTTTATTTTCAAAATAAAAACATATTTTGAGATCCCATTCTAGTAATTTATCTTACAGACACATTTGCACCTGCACTCACTATTTTTAGCAATAAAATTGTGAAACCAATTAAGTATCTCTAAATAGGAGATTGGTTAAATAAATTATGGTACATTCATATAGGCGAATGGTATATAGCTGCATCAATGCGGGTGAAAAGATGGGCAAGAAAACTAAGTAGTGTTATAGTTCACATTTGTTTGTAAAAAGAAATCGATACATAACATGATTACAATGTCTTTCTCAAGCCAGTATCACTAAATTCACTGGATGAGGGTTAGAAGAGATCCCACTAAAGCAGACACCACCACCATTATTTAACCCTCTTCAAGTAACATACTCAATGACAAAGAAAAATCAAAAGCAAAAAATTGAGAATGAGATAAAATAAGAATTATATTTGGAAACTTCAAAAAAATCAACTGAAAAGCTTTTTACAGAAATCAATAGGCTTCATGTATTCAAACTACCAGCTAGAAAAAATGGGGAAAAAATAAGATCTGACTTAAAATAGTAACCGAAAATGTTTAGTTCTATATATTTAAATGAGTACTAGTTTTTTAAAAATTAGAAGACGTTTTTCAAATTTTTCAATTGTGGATGACATTTTAAGACACAAAAGCCATTTAAAACTTTATAAACCAGAATGCAAAGCAAAATTTTAAAGAAGTCTTCATGGCCATGGAAATCTTACTGGTCAAGAGACAGAAGACAAATTGGGACAAATATTCATGCTTCATATACAAAGGACTCCTACAAATTGACAAGAAAAAGAACAATCCAAATGAAGACTTCATGGAAAAAATAAAACACACATTGCTCTTAAATATATAAATATATTTGGCCTACTTCATATGAGAAATGCAAATTAAGGCTGTAAGGAAATAGTATTTTTTCACCTGTCAGATTGGCAAAGGCCAAAGAGCTTGATCTGTCTTGTTAGCGAAAGTGTGGGGAACAATGCCTTTTATAGATGCTAGCACAATCCCTAGGGGGGGGCTATTTGCAGACACTGATACAAAATTTGAAATTTACTAACCTTTGACCTGGCAATTTCTCTTCTAGGAATTAATAATATATATGTATATATTATATATATATATATACACACACACCATAACCAAATATTACAGAGCCATTAAAAAGAATGAAGCCATTATATATGTAGTCTCTGCCACACATTAAGCGAATAAACACAGAATTACGATAGTTGTGTCAAAAAGAGTACACTCATGTCACTTAACAACAGAGATATGTTCTGAGAAATGTGTTGTTAGTCAAACATCAGCATGCACTTACACAAACCTACACGGTGTAGCCCATTACACACCTAAGCTATATGGTGTAGCCTATTGCTCACAGGCTATAATCCTATACAGTAAGTTACTGTGCTGAATAGCATAGGCAATTGTAACATAACGGTATTTGTGTATCTAGAAAAAGGTACAGTAATAATATGGTCTAAAAGATGCAACTGTGCAGGACTGGAAGTTGCTCTGGGTGAGTCAGTGAGTGGTGGGTGAATGTGGAGGCCCAGGACACTACTGGAGACTTTATAAACACTGTACACAGGCTGCACTAAATTTACACAAAGTGTTGCTTTCTTGAATAATAAATTAACCTCAGCTTATTGTAGCTTTTTTACTTTATTGAACGTTTTAATTTTTTAAAACTTTTTGACTTTTTTGTAGTAACAATTAGGTCAAACACAAACACATTGTACAGCTGTACAAAAAAATTTTTTCTTTACATCCTTATTCTATAAGTTTTTTTTTTTTTTAACTTTTTAAACTTCTTTGTTAAAAACTAAGACACAAACATATACATTAGCCTAGGCCTACAAAGGGTCAGGACCATCAATATCACTGTCTTCCACATCCACATCTTGTCCCACTGGAAGGTCTTCAGAGCAATAACATGCATGAAGCTGCCATCTCCTATGATAATGATACCTTCTGGAATACCTCTTGAAGGACCTGCCTGAGGCTGTTTTACAGTTAACTTTTTTTTTTAATAAGTAGGAGTACACGCTAAAATTACAATAAAAAGCATAGTACAGTAAATACATAAACCAGTAACACAGTCAAGTATATATACTGTACATATACTTCTATATGACTGGCAGCACAGTAGGTTTGTTTACATCAGCATCACCACAAACACGAGTAAGGCATTTGTGCTACAACATTATGTTGGCTATGACATCACTAGGCAACAAGAATTTTTCAGCTCTATTTTAATCTTATGGGATCACCATTGTATATGCGGTCCACTTGTGACCAAAACCTCATTATGTGGTGCATGATTGTATATGAAATATGCATAGAATCATTTTTGGAAAGAGTCACAAAAAGTGGGTTGTGGTTGTCTCTGGAATGGAAAACAAAAGTCAATAAATACTAAGTTGACTGCTATAATTTTAGAGCTGATTAATGATCTATACAGCTTATAATACTATTTTCAAGACCTGAGATTTTCCTTTGAATGGAACTTCTAAAAAATAGAGAGGCTTAGGATTTGCATTTCATGAATAGCGATGAAGAACAGGTACAACAAAGGACAGGCAGGCTTTATTCATAGAAACTTGAAGTCCCCTGGATATATTTGGGGAAATTTTTTTTTTAAACCAACCACTTCAAATTTGGAAAAAAGTTTTCTTGGCCCTTTTTGGTTTAAAGTAAACAAGTCAGTATTTAAAGAGTGATTTCTAGAGAATGTTCACATCTGAATTATTCTAATGAATACCTGTAGCCCAATCAGCCTGCTATTTAGGGAACATATTGCATTGTATATTTTGTTGAAATATTTATAACAGCTAAGTCACACAGATGTAATCTGTGGAATTTATTTTTAAAAAACATTTATATACACAATAAATGTAACAAAAAAATCAGGGTTAAAAGTGAGCAGGTTAGCATTTACAAAGAGATTTCTGGAGAATGTCTATATCCAAATTTTATTTTCGTGAACGCTTATATTCTAAGAGCAGTACAATTAGCCTATTACGCAGGGTCCTAATCTTGTTTGTATAGTGTTGTTGAAATATTTTCTTCAACTTTTGCCTTAACAAATCCAAAGATGGAAGATGACGACAATCTGGTATATTCAACATGATGTGAAAAAATTCACTCCACATATCCAAATGAGGAAGCCTGAAGAGACAAAGCATAAGTAATAGATAGAATGTAGCCTCCAACATACATGGCAACCCCGTCTCCTGCATCTGACTTCCACAGGCTTGGACAGTTTAATGTAACAATTCTCACCTAAACAGAACTTAATGCAGCAAGAACAGAAATATTGAATCTACTATAATAAGAGCAATTAAAGATCTAATTGAGTGTTTATACAGGTTGAGCATCCCTAATCTGAATCTGAACTCCAAAATGCTCCAAAATCCAAAACCACATGCCACCAAGTAGAAAATTCCACACCTAACTCATGTAATGGGTGCACAAAATTATTAAAACTATTGTTTAAAATTACCTTTAGGCTATGTGTATAAGGCATATATATATGAAACATAAATAATTTTGTCTTTAGGCTTGGGTTCCATTCACAAAATATCTCATTATGTATATGCAAATATTCCAAAATTTGAAAAAATCCCAAATTGGAAACACTTCTGGTCCCAAGCATTGTGGATAAGGGATACTCAACCTGTATATACCTTGTTCCAAAAAAATCATTTAAGATAAGTATCTTTTAGCAATAGCTCTTCAGTAGAAAAACTTTATCTTCTAATTTTTTGTTTTTAAATAAAATCTACCTGCTTTTGGCTAGCTGTATATACCATACTGCCAAAATCTGATAATTTAGCCAAATGGTTCTGATGAACATAATTGCATATGTGCCAGGACCAGGTAAACAGGCTGGACTGTGCAGGGGAGAACTCAGACTTAACAGTTCCAACTACTGTAATCATAATTAACTGCAAAAACTCTAGAACATGTAGAAAAGGCACTGGAGAGAAAGAATTGCACTGCAGACAGGAAATGCAGCCCATTATTATTAGGCCTGTTGAGGCTGACCTTAGGCTTTTCTCTACACTGGTGGTCAGAGATGGAAGCCTTCTGAATAACTACTTTGTACTTTGATTCTGAGCAAGAGAAAATAAAGTATATGCTAAATGTGATGACTCATTATACAGAAGGAAGCTTACTTGTTATAAGTTTTCCTCAGGGTCTTAACCTAACCTTATTTATGTATGGCATGTGACATTTTATAGAATTCCTTTTTCCTAAACAATCTTAACATTATATGGAACAACAAAAGACCTCAAATAGCCAAAGCAATCCTGAGCAAAAAAAATAAAGCCAGAGGCATAACACTACCTGACTTCAAATTATACTACAAAGCTACAGTAACCAAAACAGTATGGTACTGGCCTAAAAATAGACACTCAAATCAGTACAGCAGAATAGAGAACCCAGAAGTCACCCCTCAGGTTTACAGCCATTTGATATTTGACAAAGGGAACAAAAACGTTCATTGGGGAAAAGACTGCCTCTTCAATAAGTGGTGCTGGGAAAATTGGATATCCATATGTAGAAGAATTAAACCAGACATGCACCTCTTACCATATACTAAAATCAACTCAAAATGGATTAAAGACTTAAGTATCGACCTGAAACTGTAAAATTACTAAGGGAAAATATAGGTGAAACACTTCAGGAACTAGGTGTGGGCACAGACTTTATGAACATGAGCCCGAAAGCACAAGCAACAAAAGAAAAAATAAACAAATGGGGCTATATCAAACCAAAAAGCTGCTGCACAGCAAAAGAAACAATCAACAGAGTGAAATGACAACCTACAGAGTGGGAGAAAATTTTTGCTAACTATGCATCCAACAAGAGATTAATATCCATAATACACAAGGAACTCAAGCAATTACACAGTAAAAAACCAAATAAACCAATTAAAAAATGGGCAAAGGAACTGAATAGACATTTTTCGAAGAAAGACATACAAACGGCTGACAGGTACATGAAAAATGCTCAGCATCACCAGTCATCAGAGAAATGCTAACTAAAACCACATTGAGATATCACCTCACCCCTCAGACTGGCTATAATCAAAAAGAGAATAACAAATGCTGGCGAGGGTGTGGAGAGAAGGGAATGCTACTACACTGTTGGTGGGGCTGTAAATTAGTATAACCACTATGAAAAACAGTATGCAGTTTTCTCAAACAACTACAAATAGATCTTCTATACAATCCATCAATCACACTTCTGGGTATATACCCAAAGGAATGGAAATCATGTTGAAGGGATACCTGCACTCCCATGTTCATCGCAGCTCTATTTACAATAGCCAAGCTATGGACCCAACCTAAATGTCCATCAATGGACAATTGGATAAGGAAAATGTTGTGTATATACACCACGGACTACTACGCTGCCATAAAAAAAGAATGAAATTCTCCCATTTGCAACAACATGGTTGAGCTTGGAGAAACTTATGTTGAGTGAAATAAGCAAAGCAGAGGGATAAATACCACATCTGCTCACTCACATGTGGGAGCTAAGAGAGAAAGAAGGAAGGAAAGAAAGACCACAGTGGCATGTTGGACTTGCAGAGGGAGAGAACATACCTAGGGATACAAAGTGGAGTGAGGAAAGGGGGATGGGGAGGGAGGTCGGGGATAATTGGGGGGATAATTGGGTGGTGGACACGGGGTATAATCACAATTTGTGGTAATGGGCATGCTGTCAGTATGGATCTGGCCATCACATCTTAGGCATGAGTGGTGACAATTTGCTTTGTACCCCATGAATACTCATAATCAATAAAAAAAAATTTTTTAATAAAAATAAAAAATAAAAAAAGAATTCCTTTTTCCTTTTTTTTTTGGAGGAGGAGGATGAAGGCCAAGGGAGTCACAGTTTAAATTTTTTCCAGAAAGTATAAACATATGTAAAAACCCACTAGTCTGTAAACTTAAGATGGGTGTACTTTTCTGTGTATGTTTTTATACCTCAAAAAAAGTTAGGAAAGTGTAAGTGATGTAATAAACGTGCATGTACCAAATACTCACCTTAAAACATTACCAATAGTTTTGTTCACACATTATGTTAGGGAAGCCCTCCATGTTAATAGGGTTCTTGTCTAGTAATAAATTTTCACTGTGATTTATAGACGAGAAAACAGTCTTTGAGAAACTAAAGTTACACACAGCTGGGACTTAGACCCTGTACTGTGACAAGAGGGCTGCCTCATCATATTACTTTATAATTTACAAAGCACTTTCACATCCATTATTTCCTTTGCTTATAAGCATCTGAGGGAATTGGAAGTGAAGTGCTCAGGACTGTGCTGTCACCATTTTACCCGAGGCGTGGGTTTTCCAGGAGGTGGTGGAGACCTTTTTTCTGCCAGATTGAACTCAACAGTCTGTTTATTCTTTTTTCACTGTAGCGCCAGTGCTAATACTATATATTTTTTTTTTTTTTGGTGACCGGTAAGGGGATTGTAACCCTTGGCTTGGNAGGAATTGGAAGTGAAGTGCTCAGGACTGTGCTGTCACCATTTTACCCGAGGCGTGGGTTTTCCAGGAGGTGGTGGAGACCTTTTTTCTGCCAGATGGAACTCAACAGTCTGTTTATTCTTTTTTCACTGTAGCGCCAGTGCTAATACTATATATATATTTTTTTTTTGGTGACCGGTAAGGGGATTGTAACCCTTGGCTTGGTGTCGCCCGCACCGCGCTCAGCCAGTGAGCGCACCGGCCATCCCTATATAGCATCCGAACCTGCGGCCTTGGCGCTCCCAGCGCCGCACTCTCCCGAGTGAGCCACGGGTTCGGTCCAATACTAACCTTTTAAAATGACCTTCCGGTTTCCAGACTCCTCCTTCATTTTTCACTTTCATGTAAGTGCCAAAGAGCATGCAGTATACTGTTGCAGCAACTCCGAAGTAATCAATCTATTACAAAAAAAAAGTAGGTATATATGACTTCCACAGGAGCATATTAAGATGCCTGTTTAACTTAGGCAGCAAGCCAAACACTCGGAGGGTTTTATCTTTAAAGAATTTTGGAAACCATTTGTTCAACCAGCCCTTTGATAGGTCCTTCTGAATGTATCTAGGCTTTGCCGGAGGCTTCCATGGACAAGAGACCACCCATTACCTCCTGGGGAAGCCCCTTAGAAAGCTCTGTCCTCCTTGAGCTGCCGTGTCCTTCTCAAGTCCTTTATTCTATCACACAGGGACAAACACAGTACTCAAATCCCTGTTCCACACGTACAGCCTTGAAGTCCTCACATCTCCCTCCCCCGGGACTATGGACATTGTTCTCTGACTGCACTACTCCAGCATGGTCCACATATGCAGGACAGAAGACAACTAACTACCTGCCTCATCCACCCCAAGAGATGTTAGATCCTCATTCAGGCAGCCTAAGGCCTTGCTGGCAGTGACAACATATGAGAAATAAGACCTCCTACCTTTGCCCCCTTCATCATGGGCCCCTGGAAAGATGCAGTTCTCACCTGGAAACTGGGCAGTTGGTTTGTTAACCCAGGTTGAAAACGTCCCATTTATCCCAATTAGTATTCTCTTTCCTGGTCATCTAATATTCTGGTTTGTTAAAAATTTCTGAAACCTTCCTTTAGGATAATAACGATCCATTCCTAAAACCTTTTGGATCTGGCCATGCACCGGCTGGAAATCTGTACCACCTATCACAGTCAAAACCACCACTGTGCCTATGACAGCCTCACAGGAACACCCAACACGTGCTCAGTCATGCCTGGAAAGGGTATGGTGGCTCTCCCTGCTAACCCTGGCCATAGAGGAAACCAAGCTGGCTCCTCCCTGCGTGATTTCCTTTCCGAACGGTTCACAGTCATAACACACTTTTTCCTAGGATCAAACTCACAGAATATAACTGTTTTCCTTTTCTGATAACGGAATCTATAACTGATTAACAAGGAGTACTCCTCAGGAATGAAATTTTATTATCCCCTCAGCCTTAAGTTCATCTCTCATCAGCTGCTCAAACTAACTAGATCCCCAAATTCATTTTGAAAATCTGATAAATCTCTCACTTTAGTTTTATACCTGGTAGTTCCATGGTTTGTTACTGAGCATCTCAATACACTGAAAACCAGATGTTTCACACTTTGCTGTAAATGTAGTTCCTTTTGGAAAAAGTTTCATATCTATACTCTGACCCAGGTCAATTAGTGCCAAGCCAGCAGATAAATCATCACCTTCACCATCTTGCTCCAAAAATCTGTAGTAAACACAAACAAGGGCCAGGTTGCATGAGCACAAGTAATAAAAGGTTGCTAGGGAAATGGTAAGGGAAGGACCCTGCTAGAAGCACAATACTTGCCCATTTCCAAGTATGAAATTGTCTGGCTTAATGTCTCCGTGAATGATTTCACAGTCATGGACTTGTTCAATCATGTAAAGCATTCTCATAGCAAAAGAGATGACGAGAGCTTGAGGCATCACTTTTTCAGGGGTATTTTTATAGAGGTTAATGGCATTCTAGAAACAATGGAAAGTGGAATACTGAGTTAGTTGCAGAGGATTAATGAAATTTCAAGTCCAGAACTTTCCCCCCACCCACTACCCTAGCAAAAGCTCCAGTCACAAAAGGTATGTGCAAGGTGCAAGCCAAAGAAGTATTTCAAATTCATTGTCCATAACAAAAATGAATACACTTACTAGTAATGTTCCATAGCTGTAGAGATCTCCTACTAATACACTGCCATTCTGGAATAAGTGGGCAGAATAAAATTTGATAAACATGTGTTGCATGGTTGGCTTTAGTCTCTCCATCAGCTGGGTCCCAATGTAGAATTCCCAGGGGTTGGCAGGCTTCTGGACCTGCAAATCAGGAATGTTACAGTCATAACCAGTCTCACATTCTGTAAAATGACAGCAAGAAGGCAACCTTCATCTCAGTAAAGGATGTAGGGTAGAAAGTGATGACAAGCTATGAACTGCTGCTGTGGTACAGGGCTTGCTTCAAGACAATTTTAATGGAAAGGCAATTCTGAATCCTTGTAGTTTTTGTTTTTTAAAAGCTGACTATAGACATAAATGAAAACACCACTATCAAACTGCTCATGTAATTTACCTTCAAAATAAATTTCTGTTTATTTTTAGTATCATCCACATCTCCATAAGCAGCTTCATAGACCTGAGCAAAGGCCCCTTCTCCAAGAAGGTGACTGACGTAGACCAGTGAAGAACCTTAGAAGACAAATATGTCAAAATGACAAAAAGGCCTGAAATATTAAGGACTTTATCAAAACAAAGAATTATAAAATTTTCTTGGCGCTTGAATTGCTTTACTAAATAAAAATGCATATAAGCTCTTTAGGAGATATTTTTCCAGTATTAGAAGAAAGTTCAACAAATATCTGCCACAAAAGACCCCCTTATCAAAAGATCTGGAGGAGCAAGGGCAGAGCTGTTGTCCCAGGCCTGTTGCTTAGCTGTGAGGCCCTAGGCTGCCATCTCAATTACTAAAGGTGGGTAATACACCTGTGCTTCCTGCTCTGTAAGACTGTTGAGAAAGAACATGAAAAATCCTCTGTGCAGTGCTAAACAAAGCTCTAGGAAAAACGTGTTTTGTAACAGAATAAAAAAGGTCAAAGTATAACTGTACAAATATTTGTAATACATAATTATAAATTTTTAATTTAAGTCAATCTTTTATTTTAGAATAGTTTTCAATTTATAGAGAAGTTGCAAGAGAGTAGAGTTTCTGTATATTCTGCACCCAGTTTCCCCTATCGTTATCTCTTACATAACCATAGTACATTTGTCACAAATAAAGAACCTATGATGGTATATTACTATTTATTAACTAAACTCCACATTTTATTCAGAATTTACTAGTTTTTCTCTATGTTCCAGGATACATTATATTTAGGCATCATGTCTCCTTAGTCTTTTCTGGGCTGTGACAGTTTCTCAGATATTCCTTGTTTTTGATGACCTTGACAGTTCCAAAAAGTACTGGTCAGGTATGTTGTAGAATGTCCCTCAAATTGAGTTTATTTGATATTTTTCTTGTGGTTACACTGGGGTTTTTAGTTCTGGGGACAGAGACCAGAGAGGTGAAGTTGTAGTAGATTTTTAAATTTTTAAAAAAGAACTCATGTGTTCAAAATCAGATATAAAAATGTAGATTTCTGGTTCCTATTTTGGCATATAAGGAGATTAGAATTCATCACTCTACCCTCACAAGAAGAAAAAGGCTGAACAACTGAAAATTAACAACTCTTCTTAGATCCATTAGAGAATTGAGGTCATAGGGCAAACTGCTACCCCCCAAATTGGGAAGACAGGTGGTACAGAGAATCACAGATTTCCAGAGTACAAGCCCTGGAGCAGAAACCATTGGTGAATCCAGTACTGGGGGATTACAAAGGAAAGAACTGCACATCTCAAACCTTATTTAAGAAATTTCTAGGGAAACCCAAAGACAACAGGGGAACAAAAATGAGGACATAAAGGGAAATTTTAGCCTTTGACACAGCAACAGCAAACAGTAAACACAACCTAACCTCTAGTTAGATAAACATAAAACCTCACTAAAGGCCTATTTACCTCAGTTCCTTTTCCTAGTACATCAGGTCTGGCTCCTAACAAAAATACTACAAGGCATACTAAAAGACAAAAACAAACAAAAAAACCCCCCAAAAGGCTTGAAGACAGAGCAAACATGAGAAACAGACACAGATATGGCAGAGATTTTGAAATTATACGACCAGGAGTCTTAAAAAACTATGATTAATATGCTAAGAGACAATGTGCAAGAAGAAATGGAAAAAGGCTTGAAGACAGAGCAAACATGAGAAACAGACACAGATATGGCAGAGATTTTGAAATTATCCGACCAGGAGTCTTAAAAAACTATGATTAATATGCTAAGAGACAATGTGCAAGAAGAAATGGGTAATGTAAGCAGAAATGGAAACTCTTGAGAAAGAAGGAAAAGGAAATACTAGAAATAAAAAAAAACACAGTAAATGAAGAATCCTTTAACAGGCTTATCAGTAGACTGCATATGGCTAGAAAAAAAAATAAATGTGCCTGAAGATATGCCAATAGAAACTTCTAAAACTGAAATGCAAAAAGAAAAAATGAAAAAGGAACAGAATATTCAAAAACTGTGAGACAATTACAAAATGTGTAACATAGGCAGAATGATAGTACCAGAAGAAAGAAGAAGGAAACAGAAGAAATACTTGGAGTAATACAGGCTGAAAATTTCCCAAAATTAAGAACAGACACCAAACCACAAAAATCCAGGAAGCTCAGAGAGCACCAAGCAGGATAAATGCCCCCAAATCTATTCAAACTGTTGGAAATCAAAGACAAAGAGAAAATATTGAAAGAGGCCAGAGGAATAAAAACACTATCTCTACAAAGCAAATATAAGAATTACGTAGGACTTCTCCTTGGAAACCATACAAGCAAGAAGACAATGGATTAAAATATTTAAAGTACTAAAAGAGGAAACCCACCAACCTATAATTCTGTATTGAGTAAAATTATCCTTCAAAAGTGAAGACTTTTGGGCCGGCCTGTGGCTCACTCGGGAGAGTGCGGTGCTGATAGCACCAGGGCCATGGGTTAGGATCCCATATAGGGACGGCCGGTTAGCTCACTGGCTGAGTCTGGTGCTGACAACACCAAGTCAAGGGTTAAGATCCCCTTACCGGTACAAGGCATACTAAAAGACAAAAACAAACAAAAAAACCCCCAAAAAGGCTTGAAGACAGAGCAAACATGAGAAACAGACACAGATATGGCAGAGATTTTGAAATTATCCGACCAGGAGTCTTAAAAAACTATGATTAATATGCTAAGAGACAATGTGCAAGAAGAAATGGGTAATGTAAGCAGAAATGGAAACTCTTGAGAAAGAAGGAAAAGGAAATACTAGAAATAAAAAAAAACACAGTAAATGAAGAATCCTTTAACAGGCTTATCAGTAGACTGCATATGGCTAGAAAAAAAAATAAATGTGCCTGAAGATATGCCAATAGAAACTTCTAAAACTGAAATGCAAAAAGAAAAAATGAAAAAGGAACAGAATATTCAAAAACTGTGAGACAATTACAAAATGTGTAACATAGGCAGAATGATAGTACCAGAAGAAAGAAGAAGGAAACAGAAGAAATACTTGGAGTAATACAGGCTGAAAATTTCCCAAAATTAAGAACAGACACCAAACCACAAAAATCCAGGAAGCTCAGAGAGCACCAAGCAGGATAAATGCCCCCAAATCTATTCAAACTGTTGGAAATCAAAGACAAAGAGAAAATATTGAAAGAGGCCAGAGGAATAAAAACACTATCTCTACAAAGCAAATATAAGAATTACGTAGGACTTCTCCTTGGAAACCATACAAGCAAGAAGACAATGGATTAAAATATTTAAAGTACTAAAAGAGGAAACCCACCAACCTATAATTCTGTATTGAGTAAAATTATCCTTCAAAAGTGAAGACTTTTGGGCCGGCCTGTGGCTCACTCGGGAGAGTGCGGTGCTGATAGCACCAGGGCCATGGGTTAGGATCCCATATAGGGATGGCCGGTTAGCTCACTGGCTGAGTCTGGTGCTGACAACACCAAGTCAAGGGTTAAGATCCCCTTACCGGTCATCTTAAAAAAAAAAAAAAAAAAAAAGTGAAGACTTTCTTACACAAACAAAAATTAAGGGAATCTATCACCAATAGATCTGCTTTGCAAGAGATGTTTTTAAAAAGTTCTTCAGAGAAAAAGAGGATAATATAGTCAGGATTGGAAGAGTGTTAGGAGAAAAAATAAATGAAGATAAAACAAAATATTTTACTGTTCTCATTCTTAATCGATCTAACAAATAAGTTTGTTATTTAGCCTCACAGCTAAATAATAGCAACAGTGTATTTAGTGAGTATACCTGTGGATAAGTGAAATGAATGGCAAAATGTTATAAGGGATGGGAGAGAGGAATCAGTAACACTCTGCTATAAGGAATATTGCATTATAAGGTACTTGCAGTGCCCATGAAGTGGTATGGTGTTATCTGAAGGTGGACCTGGATGAGTTGTAAATGTATATTGTAAACTATAGGGCAATCACTAAAAAAAAAGTAAAAAAAGAATTATAATTGATATATTAGAAAAGGAGAGAAAAGGGGATCATATGAAATAATTAAAATCAAAGAAGGCAGACAGTGGAATACAAAAAAAGAAACAAAGAACAAGGCAATGACTTGAAAATAGTAACAAATATGGTAGATATTAGTCCAACTAGATCAATAATCACTTCAAACATCAATGAAAACACAGACATAAAGACAGATAGATTAAAAGTAAAGGGAAAGTAAGAACACACCATGCTAACACTAATAAAAAGAAAAAAGTGAGAATACCTATATTTATTGCAGACTGAGCAGGAAAATTATCAGGAACAAAAAAGGGGCATTTCATAATGAAAAAGGGGTCAATTCTCCAAAAAGACATAATGTGTATATACCTAACAAGACAGTGTCAAAATCTGTGAGGCAAAAACTGATAGAACTGCAAAGAGAAATAGATGAATTTACTATTACAATTGGAGACTTTGATGCTTTTCTATCAGAAATAGACCAAGCAGGCAGAAAATCAGTAAGGATATGGTGGAACTGAAAAGCACCATCAATCAACTGGATCTAACTTACAGTTATAGACCTCTTCACCCAACAACAGTAGATATACATTCTTCTTAAGCTCACATGGATCATTCACCAAGACAGACCACATTATGGGCCATAAAACACATCTTACCAAATTCAATAGAAATCATACACAGTATGCTCTGAGATCACAATGGAATTCAACTAGAAATTAATAACAGAAAAATATCTGGAAAGCCCCCAAATCCTTGGAGATTAGATACCTTTCTGAATAACAAATGGGTTAAACAAGTCTCAAGAGAGATTAAAAATATTTTTTTTTCCCTTTTTGTCTTTTTTCGTGACCGGCAACGGATCGCAACCCTCAGTGTCGCGCCCGTAACGGACTGGGACCAGCAACGGGATCGCAACCCTTGGTGTTGCGCCCGCACCTCGCTCAGCCAGTGAGCGGCCGGTCTGTATGTGGAATCCGAACCCTCGGCGTATCACCAATAGATCTGCTTTGCAAGAGATGTTTTTAAAAAGTTCTTCAGAGAAAAAGAGGATAATATAGTCAGGATTGGAAGAGTGTTAGGAGA